AATGGTAAGTTTGTTCGTATAGGAGAAGTTAATGATTCGTTTGATTGTATTTAAGGTCTTTGTGTATCTCATATCATTAGAGGGACTGCCATGCTTGCAAACACTTTCAAAGAAAACCTCAGCTTAAAATGTTGTCTTTCATTTCGAATGGGCACTTTACAGGGGTCTTTTAACCACTAATAAATGCGATATTTAGTGGTAAATGAAGCTTACGTACTAAGAAAGAAGTAATGATACAGTAACGATGCCATGTGCATGCCTACTCTTTTTATCTCTTTTGAAATTTCAAAAAGAAAAACAGCGAAAAACAAAAACAAAACCTTATTGCAGGAACAATAAGTGACATGTACATCAAAACATGTATTCGCGGTAAAAATAACATTTTCAATTTTGTCGATTTCGAGCAGACTCATTCTTAAAAGTTCATAACCGATTTCAAAATAATCATTAACCTCGATCTGGTGACATCCTGTATGATTTCATGTCTATGTTTCAATTTTGGGAACAACATAAATATGCATTCCGCGGAATAAAAAAATGCAAATCTGGTGATTTCGTTTTATTACCATGTCACAGTTGTAGGAAGGCTTTGGTGGCATTCCGACTTCACCAATAAGACAGACCGCAGGTAAACCATCATACATTGTTTAAAGCTGAAGTGAGTCAACTTTAATATATGTAAAATGTCAAACAGTTGAATAAATAGTACGCTGATCTAGCAAATATTGTTAAAAGCACGTATTAATTTGTGTATTTTCTGGCAGATAAATGCTTTTTTATCAATAATTCGATCGTTATAAAATAGATGAAAATGTTCAAAAGAAAATATTTCTAGGGAAAACAGGTACATGTACTTTGTTTGCAATTAGTTAAAAGGCATGATATACATAAATGAGCGGAGTTTAATGAGTTTTAAAGTGGCATCAATATTAATCAACTAAAATGGTTCCGATGGAAGTCAATGACTTTTGCTCGGGTTTGTCTTTCTTTTTGCTACCCATTTAAACGTTTTTGTATTTCGCTTTGTTTAAACTTACAAGTCTATCGAACGCGGTTAAGAATAACAAAGTACAACAGATGTACACATTCAAAAATGATTTTGTCAAATATCTTTTCATATAATTAACATGAGATTTATTTGTTCAACATACTTAAATTTGTAAACATATAAACTTTGAAACAACATAAACATCGTTCTGTGATTTGACTGTTTCTTTCAATTGTTAAAGAATCTCATCTTATCTATGATTCAAACGTCCGATTAATCTGTAAAATGTCAATTGTCTGCTTAACCAGACAACATGTTAATCACAGACTTTCCCAGACTTCATCTTACATCACCGCCAACTACTGACAACATAACAATATTTGGGCACAACGATGCCTGTGCAAGTATCTAAAGGTCATCGTTGAACAGATGACAAACCAGTTCATTGCTACGTAGAGTGTAACAAAACAAAAGCAAACTGAACGTGTATTAAACTATTTAAAGGGCCAAGAAGTAAAATAAGCGAGTAACCAACTAAACGAAGTCTAGTAAAGCTCAATGTGATGCATGCTTGCATTGTTCTAAACTTGAACAAAAGTTCTGATTTTTCGCTGCAAATTACCATTAAATCATTTAATACAACCCCTTATATGTAACAATAGAATTATTATTGAAGCAAGCGTGAATATCCAATGTATAGTAAAATGCTTAAAATAATGTCACGTTTTCCCCCTTTTAACTGACCTTATGTATGGTTGTGTACACTTCCCTTTTAAACTGGTCAATGCGAAACGTTGATTGATCAGTGTCAAAATGTATCCAACAGTCTGGTAAGTAAACACGTACAAAATAAGTAACGATTCGATATTGCGTTTTATATTGACCTTTTTAGTGTAGTTCACGTCAATCTGCTTCTTGTAGAGAGACGGCTAGCGTTACAACAGCAGAATTGTTGCCATTTGTTGCCTAACAAGGTTAGGCAACGTTTATAGCATGCAGTCCTCGATACAGTCCTGTAACACCAGCACGGCACTCAGAAGGCAATGCAAACAATTTTAGGACCTTGTTATGCCTGCATTCAATGTATCAGATCATTACTATGACATTTACGTTGAAATTCATTTTACAACAGTACTATACCTCCCCTAATTTTAGGTGCATTGCTCGCAACTTAATTCGAAATGTTCGTGTCAGATTTTAATTTTGAGTTTTGACACTATTGTCATTACTTTCCCAGTCGTGTATTCAGTAGTAATTAATAGTGAGCTCTATTACATAATTATTATGACAGATAATGATACTATAACATGCCAGACTCGTTTAATTAAATGTTATACTTTTTTAAAATGTAGTAGTCCGGCAGATGTGGTGAATCTATACAAAATTTGGGAGAATGTAAAATGTTGCAATGATAAAGAATATGATTCATTTGACTTAAAGTTTCTTTCTAAAATTTAAATAGCTTTTCAGACAAATTTTATTAAAGACCATTGCTTAAACCTTTTTCCCATTGAATTAATATATGAAAAGGAAGTTAAATTTTACATACAATAATTTATGAAAGCCCGCCGATGATTGACTGTGCGAGATATTATTGCAGTATTGTATGAAAAGAAAACATTTCAAGAACTGTAAATATCAATAAAATGTTTTTTTTATTATTGCTTTAAAATGCTTTGTAAACTATATAATCGAGGGAAAAAACAGAAACAGTCGCACATACAAGTAGTCCCTAACCAGTGTTTACTGGCACTTTAACATCGATATTCTTCTTCTTTGTGTATAGTAAGAGTGTTAAAATTAAAGTAAATATCGCATTACATAATGTTTTCATTTGAGTGTATATTTCTATTGTTGATGAAACATATTTATGCTTTGTATACCATGGTTTATGTATTCATGCTTTTCATATAACGTTTGTTTTGTAATAATTTTAGCCAGATTAATGATACACATTTTGCAATTTTGTACGATAATTTCGATAAGAAATTAAAAATGCACATTGCTTTATGCACTTAAAAACTGAATCATATACACTTTTTCATTCAATCGGTCATTTGTTCGTTGCTCGTGGCAAACATTAATTTGTAACAAGAAACAGAAAAATCAGTTCATATATAAATTATGAATTGACAGCGACGATGCCCTTTAATCATGAGTCGATACAACACATGAATCAATGCATACGTTAAAATAAACAATATATTTTTCTTGTTCTACCTTGATGTGAGATTAAAGACATGCATGCATCGCCTTCTATTATTCTTTCATTATTCTTTCTAATATTCATTTTAAGATAAGAATGGAACAGACAGACCTGTATCATTTTTCGTTTCGTTCTTGTATAATATTTAGCGGCGTCCGTGGCCGAGTGGTTAATGTCGTTGACTTCACCGCTGTAGTTTCGAATCTCTAGAGGGTCTTTGGTGGATTCGTTCATGTAAGGAAGCTATCCAGCTAGCTTACGGAACGTCGATGTCTCTACTCAGGTGCCTGTTTGTGCCTGAAATAATACACGGAAGGGCACCAAAGGTCTTTTTCTACCATTAAAGCTAGAACATCGCCAAATGACCTATAATGTTTCGGTGTGACGCAAAACTCAAACAAACAAACAAACAAACAAACAAACACACAAAAATTGTTTAATATTTAGGTTGAAAATGTCTATTGCACCCTTACATGCCACCATGAACAAGGAAATACATGTCCACAGTCATTAATTGGACGACATTGGAACAACTCTTAGGAAATATATATTTTATGACCACAAGGAACAAAAGTAATCAAGACGAAAATGTTATCTTAATTCAATGTCAAATTCGAAAATACAATTATTGTATAATTGTAGATACAAAATGGCTTGTGATATAATTACCGAAGAAGAATACTCCCAGCTAAATCGTGGTAAGATATAATTTTCCATAAAACCTACGGCATATTGGAGTTTCAGTGACAGAAGAGTATAATTGTTTGTGAGTTACATCTTCTTGTTTGACATGTTCAAATGAAAATAGTACTTTTGTTTAGCAATGGGAATGTATCTAAGAAATATCTGTTTCTCATACCATTCTAGGTTTTATAAAAGTATTATATCATGAAACACTATTGTCGGATTTTTACTGATGGTAGTATTTAACATATTATCACTTCAATAGAATACCTATTAACATATATTAAAGCCTTTTCCTCTTTGTATTTGAACTTCTAAAGCATTTTCCCCTTTGTATTTAAACTTCTATACCTGATCCTCTATTTCCTGATTTAACCGTAAACGTTTTATCGTTATTTCAATGACATCGCTTTAGGACAGCTTGAACTTCGATATTTACTTTAGTCACCGTAACAAGATGGTTTGACCATGTGTGAAATTCAATGTAATCAACAGATAAAATCACACCACAGCATGAACCTACATTTTAGATCTTTCTTTTAAACCGTCTTATTACCAAAATATAATCTGACAGACAGTTGTGTTTAACCCCAAAAACTTTACTTGCTACATAAGTATTTGTTAAACATTTGTCATACTGTCATAGGGTATATATATTTATTACATTGTACTTGCAAATGTTTATTAACCTATACCTAACCTATACTTCCAATAAACTATCCTAGATTATATCATTTAAATACATACACATAGCAAATTATATCAGTTTGAAATGGTACTCATATGCAGTTATTGGTATTAAAAACTGCTTTTTGTTGAATTCGATTTACTTTTGAACGGGTATATAACTCCTTCCGCCTTTCTCCGCCATTATTCAAAACAATAACAAAGCCATTTTGTGCTATAAAATATATATCCATTTCTGTATTTACTCATTTATATAATTACAGGTATAAATGTTTTTTGTATTTATTAATATATACTCTAATGAATCATGTATTATATATGTCAGTAATTGTAATATTGTGTACTTAATTAAATAATGACTTTTGTATATGTACCATAAATTGCATGTTTACATAATAACAGGATCGTATCTTTTGTTGTGTTTGTATTCACTTCAACCCCAAATTTCCAATTGACACTGTATTCCTGGTTGAGCAGACCCGCGACAATACTATTCAGCAAACATCATTGTGCAGAATTCTGGAATAAAATATTAAAAAATGTTTGGAATAGTTGATTTCATAATTTTCTTTTTAACAATATTCGTTTCATTTTGTATCGGACTGTTCTTTGCTGTCTGGGAAAGGAAAAGAAATACAACCGTTGACTATTTTCTTGCTGGTCGAAAGTCGAGTACACTTCCAGTGGCACTTTCTTTTGTCGTAAGTTTCCAGTCGTCATTACTTGTATTAGGATTTCCAGCTGAAGGATATGCATACGGTGTTGGAATTGCTTATTATGTAGTTGGAATATTCATTGCCTATTCAATTGCAGCTGTTGTAATTGTTCCTGTATTTTATCCTTTAAAGCTTCTAAGCGTTTATGGATATTTTAATTTACGTTACGGTAACAATATACTACGTTATCAGTCGCTTGCATTTGGAATGGTCTATACAATTTTTACATGGCAACAGTTACAGTTGGAACATGCGTTGCTTTGCAAGTTGTAATGGGAATCCCTCCGTGGGGTACTATTCTTTTGTACACAATGGTAGCAGCAGTTTATACTTCGATTGGCGGAATCAAAGCCGTAATATGGACGGATGTGTTTCAATTGATAATAATGCTCGCTGGAATGATTGCAGTTTTAGTTAAATCTACAATTGACACCGGCGGTTCAGAAAGTGTCATGAAATATGCAAAAGAGAGATTTGATGCCACAGCTTTTCGATTTGACCCGACTATACGGTATCAGTTTTGGAACGTATCTGTTGGAACTATATCTGCGGTCTTGTAGATGACATTAACTCAGCCGGCAATGCAAAGAGTCTACTGTGTTTCCAGTGCAAAACAGGCCAGCCTTCTTTATTTCGTAGCTACACCATTTTTCATCTTACTTACTTTAATTGCAGTGTTTGAAAGACCTGTTTTATTTGGCTATTTCTCCGGTAAGGGGTGCGATGTTCTTGAAGCAGGTATTATAAACAACATGAATGCAATTGTACCCTTTGCTGTTTTAGACTTATTTCGAAACCAACCTGGACTAGCGGGGTTGTTTACTGCTTCATTATCAAGTGCTGCATTCAGCACTCTGTCGTCATGTCTAAGTAGTCTTTCAGCGGTTACATAATTATGAAGACATCATCAAAATCAACTTTCCACAAATGAAGCCTCTTACGGCAACAAGATTATCAAAATTAATTGTGTTACTTTACGGCATCTTGTCGATGGTAATATCATTTGCAATATTACACATTCCTGGATCTATATCGGTCATCTTCAACAGTTTCATGGGTTGTATGGACGGACCTCTGTGCGCAATCTTTTTGATGTCATTGCTTTGCCGGAGGCCAACAACAAAGGGTATGTCTATAGGTCTAATACTTGGATGTGCTCTTGTCTTTTGGATAAATGTAGGCGGAAATTTTACTACATTAGACCCGTATCCGTATCTACCACCAGGTCCAACAGACCAATGCTATTTATATCAAAACAAGTCAGCAGTTTATCCTAAAACATTAAACGATGATGTTTTGAACACAAGCAGTACATCCCAGCTGGCTATCATGACTCACGGTGAAGCTCCGACCACTACAGGCACTTTAAGGAATCCATCTTCATTGCAACAGTTTTATAGTATATCGTACATTCTTTACTCATTGATTGGGTTTTTATCAACAACATTCATAGGATATGCTATCAGTTTATGTACAGAAAAACAAGCGGATCTAGATGAGAGATGTATTTTCTTATTTAAGAAACATGTACTAGACGAGTTCTTTGTAAGTAAGCAAAATATTGGTGCAAATCTTCAATGTGACACAGCAACGCGTGAAGAAGAATCAAAACTTTTGTAAAGTACTTGCCTGTATTACAGTACTAATAAATATTAATATTACAAAACAACAAAAACATTTTTATCCTATGACATACTATTTTTAATAGTCAATCATAGCTGAATAACCTATATGTCTTATTTTTGCATTATATTAAATAAAAGTTTGTAAATGTGAAATGTATGCAAATATTTCTTTTACGTTTATAATTAATGATACATGTCGATTTAAAAGTGTTGTTGATGAAGGGATAAAGGTTTTTAATTCATTTTACCTATTTCCCCGATACACGATACTTGTTATAAACCGTAGAAAATTTAATTTGAGGCAACGAGGTATTTCAAATAGGATAGCTACTTAATGTAAGATCGGGTCGGGAGGTCAACGTAACAGGAATAAGGATATATATTCTGATGATATATGTAATAGAATGATATTAAGATAAAAAAATACATGTCTAAAATACATCTACATCTAATTTGATCAAAATTTTCAAGTTCTCTGACACTTGAAATCAAATTAACGACTGCCAGGATTTCCTCTCTTAAATAAATGCGATGCTACATATAATTTTGGAAGTTTTGCTGTTCTATAGTGACATATGCTTTTTATTTTCTTTGATTTCTATTGATGTGCTGTCTTGTTTAATTGTACAAAACGACTAAAAGGCACATTGCGTCGCTTATTGTATAACCCATTTTGTAATCATGAACCGGTCTTTTGTCAGCAATGAGTTTTGTGTTTGCAATCAATCTTTTTCGTGATCGGAATACAACAATATACTCTGGCAAAGTTATTTCTTACATTTGTTTCATGTAGAAAAAAGAAAAACCCACTAAAAAGTAAACAATCGATACACTTTACAAATGTATAGCTTATTATTTATATTCCTAATTTAAAATCGGAAATCCACTTATAAAACTCTGAAATAATGCATTATACTTAAATCAAGACAGTTGCATTATCAAATTATTCAAATATCTCTATTTAAATTATCAACACTTACATTCTGGTAAAACCAAGTTTATCAATAAAGAAATAATTTTTGCGCCATTATATTTTATAAAAAAGAACCATTTGTGCCGTTCATCAATGCAATTGGTTTTAGAATTCAGAAAAAACATTTAATCTTAAACGTGCAGATCATGCCGAAAGGTTTCTCATTATCAAATCAAATGATGGGTTTTAAAGGCACATTATGGCTCAGAAATCCGTATTTCTTTTAATCTTTAGAAATGTCAAATATGTGTTCAAAATGTTTAAATACACAAGATGGTAAACAACTGAGGAAAGTGGCGCTGAACGTGCAGTCATGGGTCATAAAGGTAGCAAAATGTAAACAAAGCAGTATTTTGACTACCAAACAAATACTAATTCACTAATTCACTAATAATTATACCAGTTGCCAAAATAGCCAAGTATGAAAAATATAGTTCGTCTATACTGCAAATGAATTTTTTTTTTCGAGACATTGAAACAAATTACAATCAATAAAAAACTTTTGAGAAATGCAAATGATAGAATTTCTGAGGCATTATGAGGCAAATCTGGTGCCGTTTCTAACTTTTTTCAGTATGTTTAAATCATTAACTTTTAGTTAACGCTACGCATCAAGGATCTAACGGTCACAATTTGGATTTCCCGCGACTTTTCAATAAGCTTATTATAATCAAAGTTATTGAAAGTGGATCAGTTGCTTCTTTTTTTTCGCCATTGCAGAAAAAGGAACATGTGCGTGTAAAGGATATTAAGGTTAAAACGAAAATGGCGGCACCCCTGTATTTTAGAAAAATTACACTGAATCATTGCTAAAATGCATAATATGATATAATATCCCGCAGAGATTATTTTCAAAAGATCTATTTAAATGTTTTTATAACACAAAATAACTTACTTTTCGATCTTGGTTGAAGATTTGAGTTTTGTATATTAAAATGATTTTCTTTAAACGGATGATTTGATTTGTTTGCTTAAAATTGCTTTCATTGAAAATCCAAATCTGCTAGAAAGCGACACAGAACTACTGAAATGTAAACATAAAAAAATTGTAACTTTTCTGATTGAATCCCACAAATGAAATCATTATTTGCATTGCAATATACCGTATACATAACATCTACACGAAAGTGTAATAAAACCTAAAACACAATTAATCTTCCGTTTGTTGTTATTTAAAATTGATTTAAACTTAAAGAACAAATAGATTTAAAAACAAAGAAGTCAGATTTTCTGATGTTATTTATTGTTTATCATTACCAGTATAAATAGTAAAAATATTAAAGGCAGCCGAATAATATGTTTATCCCCCCGCTAAACGCTACATGTAAATACTTATCTCCTTACACCAACCTGTGGCTTTTTATTCAAATATAATTGACTTGTATAATTCAGAAATATGTCTGTTTCTAGTCGATTAGTTCAAGATTTAGGTGTGCTTTTTACTTTTATTAATTGAAATGTCGTTTCTGCGAGAATATAAAGACATATATGCAGCTAATCACATTTCTATATTGAGTGAAAATGAAATTTCCACTACGTGATATTGTTTCAATTGAAAAGTGAAAGCCAGGAGGGAGCAAATGGCATATTAGTTGATCGTCAATTACGTTAAATAAAATACTCTGTAGTACTGTAGTGCCAACTGGTCGTGCTAATTGTCAGATAATAAATACCTACCATTCATTTGAATTTACACGTCGAGACTTATATGAAATGATAATAATTTCTGTTTCTTTATGGAGCTACTAATCTGAAACTTCATAAATACATATGAATCATTGAAGACAAGTACCGTGTATAAGAACCGTAGCTCTCGTTTTCGTAACTTTGACGTTAATGCCCTTTGTATTTTTGCATACTAGAGCGTAATTAGAAATGATTCGAGCTGCTTTGCATCATATCACATTTTAGGAATATCTATTATTCTCTTTTGGATAATTTTGAGTTTTTGCTTTTAGCAGTTGTTCAAGTTTACATCCGGGGAATAATACAAAATCTTGGACGTTTTTAACCTTAAATTTGCTCAAATAGATAAATCATACCTTAAGTAATGCTGTGCCTTAAAATCATATCTCTCTGTTGTGCAATTTTGGAGTTATTAGACGGCGCGTGCACGCTCCGTCTAGTACATATGCATGTGTCCGTATAGCAATGGGGAAAATTTTAGACTTGATTTTGTGCATTTTTGTTTTGTTTTAACAAAATCACATTGTTTTCAAATTTTCCAATAAAAATAACTTTTCTGATGTACAACATGTCAAAGAGCTTTTGGGGATTAAAATAAACGTTTAACTGAAAGTGTTATTGTCATGTTTGAATATCATATTCTTTTTATTATAATTATCTAATTTTATCTACCTAATAAATAACGTGCCAATGAGCCAGTCTATAGTCGATCGTTCTAAAACTTAACCGTTGAGAGAGGTCACGATTGAAGCAGTGTCACTCACATCATTTGCTCCGCCTCTGTTGGCGTTCGTCTCCGTCTTAAATTGTCGCCAAATTCAATATGCTAGCATTTAGTCTCCGTTGACGGGGGTGGGGGGGGGAAGGAAGGAACCAGGACAATTATGATCAATATAACTTGACGAATTATTAAATTACAAGTTACAAAGCCTAAACCACGTCCACCATCAGAGAGGCGTTTCTCCCTAAACCCTTAGCTCAACACAGACCTGTCTATATAGTCTAATGACGGCAAGGAAGAAGAGGTATCACTAAAATACGCAACGGAGATTTTTTTGGCGCTACGGACGCAGCGGAAATATATTTTGCCAAACAGGCAAAACGTGTGCGACATGTACTTCACTAAAATAATTAACATTAAAGTTATAAAACAGATTAACTGAATGAAAAAGTACGTTAATTTTAAAACGTACCACAAATATTTGAATAGGTTATTTTGAAGGATTCTGTGGCCGACGATTGTTCTTTTGCCTAGATTTTTTATTACATTTTGTGGTCCCATACCTAGATTCTAGGCGAATATGCAATCTTTTGTTTATTCAAGTAGTTTAATCTTTTATAAATAAGTTAACAATACGTAACAAAGAATTGATTATATATATATATCAATTTATTTATAACTCTTATTATATATCATAGACATGTAAAATAACTGACAGTTCGTCCTCAAAATCATTCGAACATTATGCAATTCGCACCAATATTTAAAAGGACATATTCTCGGCACATATTGTCTTGAATTTATTTTAAGCTTACCAATCATTTCAATTTCACTTGTTATCCATTTTTTTTGCTTCAATCTTTGTCGCAACAGACAAACATTTCAGAATTT